AAATGAACAAAGACACGAATTTGAAAAGAAAAAACTGCACGCTGTCATCCGCGCACACAGTCTCACAGAGACACAACCGGTTTTTGGGTTGTTTGGAAGGCAGCTCCGCTCTGTGTGACATTGACTCCTCAGTGCCAATTCCACACTGGGAGCTGCACTTGCTAGCTTTGCTGCCAATCCAGGTAAAGAGATTATAGACACACACAATGCAGCCTTCTTTTCGTCTGCCAAGAAGAAAACCAGCCCTTTAAGCTCAAAGGAGAAAAAAAAAAAGAAAAAAGAAGGGGGCTAGACAAAAATCCACACAGCCATTGGCCCCGTCCTCGCGCTAAAGAAACCCAAGAATCCTCTTCTTCTCCAGGAACATGGCTTCGAATACAGGCCTCGCTCACTTGGCTCCCACTCATGACTCAAACAATTCAGCCTCCTCCTCTTTATCCAGGTCCCCAACACTGTTGCACATTACTATTACTTGCATCATTCAAATAAAGAAGGAATTTGGCTCGCGATCAGTCACACAGTCGTTATAAAGCCCCACTAATGGCTGCTGTCTGGTTACAAACTATTGTCAAACAATGTGAAAGAAAGTTACCCTTGCATTTCATCATGGTTCTTAATGGTGTAATTAAAAAAAGAAAAAAAGGTAAAGAGAACGTGCGTGTCACCCAAAATACATAAAAGGGGCCACCTTCAATTTTTTCAAGGCACAGTAATTAACTCAAAAACTCGCGGAAATCTTAAAAACTTGATGAGAACTGCGGGGATCCCAGTAATTGAAGGCAGGACCGATTTTTGCCGAGCTGGAAATCAAACAATCACCGACCGTGGCATTCAGTTCTGACCCAATTAATCAGCTGCTTATAATCGGAAGAGTGTAATGTGGCTTTGGGACTGCACTCATTTGCATTGTATACAATAAATTTTTTAGGGATTGGTGCGGATTACGCGGGATGCAGAGAAAACTGCATATCTAGACTATGTGTTGCCCCTCGAAAGCGTCCCGTGTGGAGTTATGTAGAGCGAGGTAATGTGCCGTAGAACCAGGGCTAATTATGGTGTGGACTTACTGGAGGATGCGTGTGAGCAGCAAGACAAAGAATCCATCTATCATCTGCCGAACCTTTAACTCGCACATTAAACCGCTCTCGGCGGATAACGACAAGACGCCGTTTGTCTCACCTCGGCGACACTCTCCTTGGCGCCACCAATTGTGTTTGACGGTAAAAATCACATTTCAGATCATAAATCAAATGTCAGCCCGCAGGACGGGGGGGGGGTATAGGCACCAAAATGATAGAATGATTTGGTCTCAGGGCTTTTCTGGGAGCATGTCGTCCAGGGGGTGGCATGTGACGTCACGTTGAGGGCCTTGGGAATGGGCGACGGGTATGCGTGGGCCGCGACTGCCGCCCTCACGGCCCGGTCTCGGGACAGAGCTAAAAGAAAGAACTGCAAACCCATTCCTGTCTTTTCTCTCTTTTCTGTCACAAAATGAGTGTCAGGAGAGGAAAAGGCAAGGTTGAAGGGAGGCGGTGCGGCGGCGGGGGGGGACACTGCAGTGGACCATGGGACAATAGGCGCCCTCTGGCATCAACCTCTGGACAGCCCGAGCTGCTCACCAAAGACACTGAACTCACCCACAATGAACCGCTGCAGTGGGAAGGTAGGCTTTAGAGAGTTCAATTTCCAACACAATTGGCCGTATTCTACTCCTTTAAATGCCAAGGAGATGGTGTGCAGCCTTTGTGAGGGGCTTTGCTTACAGCGAGTGTCCTCTAGCAGGAGCGACGGAGAGCGGGGGAGAGAGAGGGAGAGAGAGAAGCGGCGAGATGGCGAAGACGGGCAGGGCGGGGAGATGGCGCGGGGACAGAAATAGTGAGACTGTGTAAATGAAAAGGAAGGAAGAATAAGACCGAATGACCGAGCGAGATGGAGAGTAAAGAAAAAAAGAAAGGAAGAAAAAAGTAGAGAGCTAAACGAGAAGGGTAGAGAACGTCTCCTCTGGCTGTCGTTTGGCCAGCCTCGCAGGGACCGTCTGAAGGACAATGCTGCTACTAGTGGAGTGTGACGTTTGTCCTCTATCCAATTCACCACGGCCCCCCAGAAGAAAAACACACTTACGATCAAAGTGCCGATCATGCATCTCAGACACAATAAACCCCAACAAAACGCAGTGCATTATAGTAATATACAATACTGTGTGTATAAAATAAATAAAAAGCTTAAATGGGAAAAATAAAAAAGCGGCGGAGATAACATTGATATGAGGTGGTGCGAAGTCATCGTGAGCCCCAGCAGGCCGAACAAGAGATCACATTTAATGCTGTGAGTGTTACCTCAGACACACGGCTCTTTCTTTATTGAAGAAATGATTTTACGTTGTACACACCTGCATAATATGCTGTAAGTATGCGGTCTCTCCTCAACAAGCGCTAGTAAATATGAAAAATGCTGACTGACTTCAAGGACATTTGCTTTCTTTCCTCTTGGTTCGCTACATTGCATAACTACCCGCAAACTTCATGGAGAACAACGATGGCAAAACAGCATCAGCGATCAGTTTTAACCCGATGTTCTCTGGGAGTCCGTCGGCCCGTCTTTCACCGTGGAGCCTTGCTGGAGAGAATGCCGTCCCAGCCGCAGGTTGAGGACCAGTTGATTTTCTTCCCCCGTTGATTCATCCGCTTATGGGTTGAAAATTTGATCGTAGATCTGTTTTGTTGTTACAGCTTCGGTAATTTCGATACTGTCGAAATGTGTAATTAACGGGGATCGTATCGTTTCAAACACGTGGTGTCGAAAAAGTGCCGAAAGCGTCGATACTTTTGACGAGCTCAACAGAAAATGTTAGGCTGTTGTTGTGCTTCAGGCTTTTAGGGTCAATTTGGTTGCAATCCAACACATGCATATGGAAGTTGGAGGCCACACTTGCATGACAGCATTCCAGATGTATAAGGAATAAAATAGGGCAAATGGAATTAGTTGTTAGAAAAATGCTGTATCCTGCAGTGCTTTGCATTAGAGCCCCGAAGTGAACTGCTATTTTCGGGACATGCAATCATGGTATAGGCTTTTTCTAAATAAATTTTTCGAAGAATCGCATCGTGTAACATCTGGATTGTTTAATAGAGAACGTGTTATTTCTATCCATTGCAGTGCTACAGAAAACAAATTGCAGAATTATTTTTTCATGATTCTATCACAAAGATAAAAATGAACACAGGTGGGAAATTGATTCGGACCGCCGGCCTGCCAGATGCCCATTACTGGAGCTTTAGGCAACGGTAAAGCCGGCCCAGAAACTGGTTTCACTGATTAGATATTCAATGTCCTTTCCTTTGTGGTCACAGGGCAGCTGAGCCATTAATATTACACTTTCACACCAATGGCTCTGATCAATTATTAAATTTTTTTCTTATGGCTCTGTAATATTCTATGCAATTCATCTGGAAGACCTGCCGTGTTTTCTTTTTTTTTCGAGACGAAAAAGCAGCAAATATCCGCTGTTTCAAATTGCCACCGGAACAAAATATCAAAATGCTAGTTGGGAAGAAACGGCGGCAACAGCAGCAAGCGCTGCACCTGCCTCCCGCCTCAGTGTCACACTCAATATAAATACGTCCGCTGTCATCAGCAAAATTGCCAAGGAGGCTGTTTCTCCATCATTGTCTTCATTTGAAGGGCATTTCGCTGCCCAAAGGCGAACGCCTAACACACTCCCCGAGTGTGGCGCTCCCACCCCCTTTTTACAGAGGGCTGGCAGTGCAGCAGACAGGGGGAGAGAGAGAGAGAGAAATGAGAGAGAGAGAAAAATCCCTTCTACCCAAAGCAGACCTCACACTGGGTTCTGTCACTATGGATCAAAATCCCCTTAAAGCCAGAGATCACTTCCACTACAGTTCACATGTTCCTCGCTTAGAAACTGTTTACCAGACTCAAAGAGTTCGTCTGCACAGCGGACACACTCACACACACTCACACACACACACACACACACTCACGATACAGTACAGAAAGGAAATGAGAGTAAAAAAACAACACATCTTTCGATCCGAGCCGGCTGCACTTTTAACATTTATACGTGTTGAGAGAGGACGATTCGCTCGCTGCAAACGGATGTTTACGTCTTGTGTGGAGAGAAAGGAAAGGGCACTGGGCCCGGTTCACTGAGATGGTGCGATGCCGGTTCTGTCTGCCTGTATGAGCGAGCTGACTGGTGTGACAAAACAGAGAGGAGTCTGTGCTCCTTTCTCTTGTGGAAATACCTGTCAGTGCCTGTCGCCTGCTCGCACACACGGTGACGCACGCACGCAGCCGGGGACAGTCTGTCTCCTAAAAGTTCCTCTAACGCACCGATGTGAGGATTCATAGCCAATAACAGCCGTCCCCCGCACACGCGCGGCTCAGGATAAGTGACAGCCCCTGTGCACGCGCGCGCTTGCCGGCGGTTGAAAAGTCGGCGAGCGTGCGCCTTGGCTCGATTGCGCGCCGCTGCGTCGCGGCGCGGGGAGGGAACCTGTCTTTGGAAAGTCCTCTGCATGAGAGAAAAACGTCCCCCCTCATCTCAGATAAGGAGCCGATGAGAGATGGCGATAAAGTCGGTGCTTCTCCCGGGCCTTATCTGACGCTGTTATCTGACTGCACAGCACCCACCATCTCACAATCTTTACACCCTTTAAGCACCTCTCTGAAGCACTCACACCGGCATCGCCATCATCACACACACACACACACACACACACACACACACACACACACACACACACACACATTCTAAACACCGCACCAGCTTATTGATTACTTTGACAAGCTCCCATTGTTGAGCAGATGGTACACCTAATATCATGTAAGATTGGAACTGTTGTGTGTTATCTCATGGGGAAAGGACATAAAATGACTATTTTCTCACCTTTCAGAAAGACAGAGCAAAAAAAATAAAAAATAAAAATAAACAACAACAAAAAAACAGGAGAAAAAGAGAGCGGACGCTTTGCACTTACCTCTATGTCTGTTAGTCGTCTTATCAAACATAAGCATGGCATCGTCAACCTGGAAGACATAAGAAAAGACACTGACATTAGCTTCACGTAACCTTCTCCCCCATTGAGTCTCATTCTCCTCACTGTAATTATTCTTAGAGTTTAAACTCTCGCTGCCTTACACATATTTCTTTCGAAGCACCCCTCTCCTACATAATCACTCCGCGGTCGCGGGGTTATTGTCGGGTTACCAGTTTCCTTTTTCTGTCCGTGGCTCGTAATTTTGATGAATTTTACCAATCTCAGTGGCTTTCACTCACGGTCCGGATTAGAAATGTGCAAAGACGCGAGCGGGGGAAAAAATGGCGAAATTAACAATGATGACAAGTGGCGGGGAGAAAGGAAGCGGAGAACTGTGCGGACAATATGTTTATTTTGATGAACACCAATGGCCGGTCCGGGGGAGAGTGACAGATAGACACATTAGGCTAAGCGAGCGTGAGACAAATGGGATCCCTCCCTCATCTCGCAGCGGCGGCGGCGGCAGCAGCATCCACCATAATATCATCCCTCATCATGTCCAATAAAGCCACACAGACAGACAGCTTCTTTTTTTTTTTTTTTTTGCTTTGTTTTGTTTCTTCACACATCCCTGAAAAACGGATCTCTAGACACACTCTGCTTTTCTATAAAACTCTGAAGAAATGCTTAAAAAACAACAAAAAAAAACAGAGTGAGGCATGCTCATTTAGCCTGTGATTTTGTCTTGGGAGAGAAAAAAAAAAACCAACAGAGGGGGAGACAGCAGCAGACAGAAACAAAGAGGGAACACTCTGCACCATCCACTCTCCGGTTATGGTCTCTAGGTAAGTGTAACGGTGTACCGAGGAGGCTTGATGCTGTGCGGCGGGGAGGGGGGGATGTGCACACAAGCATGCGTCTGTGTTTTTCACGGGAGGGTGACAAAGCTTCGTGGAGGAGATGAGAAGAGACAAGAATAGGGGTCTCGCTCAAGCCGAACTGTCTGATTGGATGAAGAGAAGTGTCTGGCAGCCGGGCAGACTAGCGCTGGCACGCTTGTTCATGCCACCCTCTTGCCACACATTTGGCACACAGGACGCTGGCACAGCTTGCAGGGGCCCCGGCTACTCACTGCACGGCTCGCAGGCCTCACAGGCACTTTATTTTCACCTCCCCGAAAAGCGCTTCCAAATTTGCCAAAAATAGCCAGCGAAAGGCATATGGATTTTAAGCAACCCATATGCGAGGTACACCTAGATTTCACTCATTTCAGTGGCCCGGCATTATGTGCACAGGGTGTCGTTACTCAATGCGAGAGAACACAAGGCTGAGCACCTGAAGTGGGCGAGCCTACAGGTGGATCAAATCCTACACTGCAGGAGTGTGTGCAGCAGGACATTTGGCAGAAACAGGACCATCAGTTACCTTGAATAAACATTTATACTAAGGCATCACTTACTAAAGGTCACAGCAAAGAAAGAAAGGCAGACAGTCTGTATGGGACTCTCAACAGGGAAAATCTGAGGGCCAATAGAAATGAATCGTTTATTGTGAGTTTAGAACCATTTGATGAACCAAGTTGATTTTTGTATTAAAGAGAAACTGAGGTCTTATAATTTTTTGGATGTTTAAAAGCAGAAAAAAAAAGTTGCTTTTCTAGCATTGGCTACTGCAAAGCAACTAAAAAAAGTCAGTCAAAAAGAGAGACTTTTCATAACGAGAAAATGTTGCTAATAGTTTCGCCATTTGCAAAGGGCTAGCAGCTACGGTTATCAGAGGGCTAAACTATTAGCGACATTTTCTCTCCATGTCTCTTATAGTTCATCCTGTCACCACTATAACAGCTACGGTTAGCCGGTGCTAAGCTAAACTATTAGCAACATTTTCTCTCCATGTCTCTTATAGTTCATCCTGTCACCACTATAACAGCTACGGTTAGCCGGTGCTAAGCTAAACTATTAGCAACATTTTCTCTCCATCTCTCTTATAGTTTATACTGTCACCGTTGTGACAGCTACGGTTAGCCGGTGCTGAGCTAAACTATTAGCAACATGTTCTCCATCCATCTCTGAAACGCTTCACCAATCAGGACGGCGGCACAAAAAAATGGTCTGTAAATGAATTTGCCCCAACAACTGTGGTGCTGTGGCGTGCACTTCTGTTCTAACACCATATCCTCTGTTGACACAACACACAAAACATAATGAAGTCTGCCGTCTCTGACAAATGTGTTATCTGATGACTGCATGGTGGGAAAGATAGAAAAGTAGTGAACGGATAAAACCGCTGCCAAGCAATATCACCTGCAGCAACAGTTTTATTCACAATGTCACGCAACCTAACCTTTTGTCTCATGCCAGGCGATCTAATGAAAATTGCATTAAAGTGATTGGAAAGGGGATAACTGGAATTTGGAGTGCAGAGCGGTTTGTGATTTTATTGCCTGAGTCTGAAGAATACTTCTGGATTGTTTGTTTTTTTGGGTTTTGTTTTCTGCAGTACAGTCCTGCCATTATTACATCAAGTACCTAGATTATTACACTGTCCTGGAATTAAATGTGAGAAAACTTTCTTTTTGTTTTGTTGGAAATCTGCTCCTAAAACCAGAAACGGTTTATTATGTCTCCACATCTGACAGAGCAGAAGATGGAACGGCATGTTTACCAACTATGGAAGAACGTTTAATTTGACAAGTGTGGCTGACAGCCTGTGATCATTTACATGGGAGACGGAAATTTATAGCGTTTGACTTCTGTCATCTAATATAAGTAATACTGGAACGGCGAAAAGGAGGCGCGGCGGCATTCGTCGGTAGAGGTGAAGACTCAACTAAAATGGAAACGCTTTCTTGAAATACAACTGTTGTTCCAGAAATTGATTACTAACAATTTTATCAAGCCTACTCTGTGATTTGGTGGCGAGATAAAAATTTCAAATGACACCCACGAGCACCCGCAACATAAAAGACACAACATAACTATTTACGATTCTGTCGCACAGTGTAATAAGTTTGTTTTTCTATGTCACTGACTGAATTTGGTGTTTCTACCAAGACAAACAAGTGAAATCTGAGTTATATAAAAAATAGAAGAAGAAAAAACACTATCATCAGCCATCAACGGTGATTGAGCCCTTCATGCAACATGACATTCAAATATCTGCGCTCTGATATTGATGGCACTCGCTACTGTAAAGCCATTTACTGCCTGAGAGCAGAAAGACTGCTACTTTGTAAAAAATGAAGTGAGGTCTATTAAAGGAAGTGTATCATATGAATGTGTGAACCGTGTTGTTGTGACATTATTAGGAGGACCATCCTGTCAGCAGAGACCCGTACAACAAAGAACACAGATCCACAGTGAAGCACTGATGGGCACTTTAACAAAGAATGCGCACATCATGTGAGAGTCACACTCCAGCAGGTCTCTCTCTCTCTCTCTCTCTCTCTCTCTCTCTCTCTCTCTCTCTCTCTCTCTCTCTCTCTCTCTCTCTCTCTCTCTCTCTCTCTCTCTCTCTCTCTCTCTCTCTCTCTCTCTCACACCCCACTTGCAGAGTCTATAGAACCATCTCCTGTGCTTCAGGGCTTTTCAATGTAGTTATTCAAGCAGAACACAACTGTGTGCCTCCATCTGATAGAAGGTTAAGGACCTCTTCACTGCTCACAAAAAAAGCCCGCCACACAGAGGTGAGGCCAGGCTCACCTCAGGGAAGAAATCTTTCTCTGTCGTCCTCCTCCTCCTCCTCCTTCTTTCTCTCTTCCTTTTCTCCTGGCTCGGTGAAAAGAAAGGTTCAAGGGATAATGGCTGTCTTATCACTATGTAAAAGGGGAATGGGAACTCCAGCGAAGTGCCTGGCCTTTTGTGACAATGAAGAAAAGAGCAAAAGTCCATTTCACTGTGGTATATGCACTGGAACAGTCCATGACCACAAGACTGCTGGAAGACAGTCGGGGGTTCAAGAAGGCCGTGCAGCTCTTTAACTAAACCTGAAGCAAACGCATCTGAACCAAATAACCCCCTCTTTAAAAAGAGGGCTGACAGGAGTATATTAGGTATGTGAACTGTTGGCTTACCGGCAATTTCACTTGTATTCACAATTCAGAAGGTGCTGATTCAATACAAGTGCCCTTTTAGTTTGTTTTGATGCTGTTCTGTAAATGCCAATTTGATTTCGAGGTATTAGCTAAGACTGTATATACTGTATATATATATATAT